ATGTTGTAGAGCAGGCTGTGCACTTGGCTATAGTGAGCATCCGAGCCCATTCTCCAGTGGAAGTCAGCAGAGGACTCAGCAATGGGTGAGGACTAGTCAGCCAATTCTATTGTTCAGCCTCAAACCTGCAGTGCCTTCTCCTCCCACCTCATCATTGTCCTACCCTCGCACCAGATCTTTTTTCTTCTCCCTTCAGTTCTTTTTTTTTTTTTTTTTAATCCTTATCCTTCAGAAAGAACTAGTCCATCCCTCAGGGGTTCAGGATGGCTGACAAGAGGCAACCCGGCAGGCAGAATGATGAGGAGGAGGTCCCAGCCTTCTTCAAGAACATGGGATCTGGGAGTCCCAAGCCCAGGCAGAAATTCTGTGGGATGTTCTGCCCAGTGGAAGGGTCTTCTGAGAACAAGACCATCAATTTTGACTCTTTGTCAGCAGGGAAAGGGTCTGGCAAAATCATTAGCAAGCAAAGGGATGTTACACCCTCTGATCAGAGGAAGATTGAGATCAAGTGCTCTTCTGGCAAAGAAGCCCTTCAGTACCTCAATGACAAGGTGGGTGATGTGATGACTTGTATGAATGCACAAGTGGGGAAGGGGGGTGGCTCCTTGGGGGGGCCACCTAGGCAGCATGGGTAGGGCGGAAATGTATGACATGGCAGTTCACCTTCTTTCCACAGTCATGGGTTAGATGTAAAATGGTGACAATGTCCTTTGTGTGTTTCTAAAGCCATTTGACATATGTGATATGTAGGGTTCAGGGCTGTCAGCCTCATCCTACCATGCAGCCAGACCCTTCTGAAGAACTGTATGGAATGTTATATACCATGCAGCCAGACCCTTCTGAAGAGCTGTATGGAATGTTATATACCATGCAGCCAGACCCTTCTGAAGAGCTGTATGGAATGTTATATACCATGCAGCCAGACCCTTCTGAAGAGCTGTATGGAATGTTATATACCATGCAGCCAGACCCTTCTGAAGAGCTGTATGGAATGTTATATACCATGCAGCCAGACCCTTCTGAAGAGCTGTATGGAATGTTATATACCATGCAGCCAGACCCTTCTGAAGAGCTGTATGGAATGTTATATACCATGCAGCCAGACCCTTCTGAAGAGCTGTATGGAATGTTATATACCATGCAGCCAGACCCTTCTGAAGAGCTGTATGGAATGTTATATACCATGCAGCCAGACCCTTCTGAAGAGCTGTATGGAATGTTATATACCATGCAGCCAGACCCTTCTGAAGAGCTGTATGGAATGTTATATACCATGCAGCCAGACCCTTCTGAAGAGCTGTATGGAATGTTATATACCATGCAGCCAGACCCTTCTGAAGAGCTGTATGGAATGTTATATACCATGCAGCCAGACCCTTCTGAAGAGCTGTATGGAATGTTATATACCATGCAGCCAGACCCTTCTGAAGAGCTGTATGGAATGTTATATACCATGCAGCCAGACCCTTCTGAAGAGCTGTATGGAATGTTATATACCATGCAGCCAGACCCTTCTGAAGAGCTGTATGGAATGTTATATACCATGCAGCCAGACCCTTCTGAAGAGCTGTATGGAATGTTATATACCATGCAGCCAGACCCTTCTGAAGAGCTGTATGGAATGTTATATACCATGCAGCCAGACCCTTCTGAAGAGCTGTATGGAATGTTATATACCATGCAGCCAGACCCTTCTGAAGAGCTGTATGGAATGTTATATACCATGCAGCCAGACCCTTCTGAAGAGCTGTATGGAATGTTATATACCATGCAGCCAGACCCTTCTGAAGAGCTGTATGGAATGTTATATACCATGCAGCCAGACCCTTCTGAAGAGCTGTATGGAATGTTATATACCATGCAGCCAGACCCTTCTGAAGAACTGTATGCAATGACTGCTCATATAGCTGCATTGCAATTCACATCAGGCTACTTTTCACCAGTACTGGTACTGCTGTCCATATGGACCCCACCCTTTAGAACCAAGATGACATACAGTTTTGGTTGTAACAAGCTGAGCATAATATGAGCTGCAGAAAAGTAAATCCAGTACAGAATATCATTTGTGTTAAGTATATTGCTGTGAATGTTAAGATTAAGACAACAGCTAGACTAAGAGTGACCAATACTAGTAATTGCATATGTCAGTGAGGTTCTCTTATGTGTGTGTTTTTTTCTGTTGCTTTTTTCTACTTTGTTTCAAGTTTAATTCTAGCAGACGTCATGGAGCCCCTCTGTGGGGGATCGGCTTAAAACCTTTTGGGCTTGTGGGACAGTCCTATAATATCAAACCTGGGGAAAAAAAATGTTTCCACTTTTTTACCGGTCAGCGGGTAATGACATGCCGCCTGCTTCCTGATTGCCCGGGAACTCGGCTCCATGTTGTTTGGCCAGCTCAATTGTGATTGGCCGGGAAACCGGCTTCCCAGCCAATCAGCATCGAGCTGGCTTCCCAGCCTTTCAGGAATGAGCCGCCTCCGAGATTCCTGATTGGCCGGGAGCAAGGAGACGGCTGTTAGGCCGGCTCAATGCTGATTGGCCGGGAAGCCGGCTTAGCAGCCAATCAGCATGGAGCCGGCTTCCCAGCCAATCAGCATGGAGCCGGCTTCCCGGCCAATTAGAAGTCGGGGAAGCGGGTCATTACTTGCAGCCCCGTTCCTGATTGCCCAGGAAGCTGGCTCCATGTTCCCCTATGGCACTGCCGGTCAGAGGAAATCTTCCTCTGACCGGAATTTCCGTTATCTGGGAAGGTATCGGAGCATTTGGGCGAGTACTACTTGCCCAAATACTCGGTATCGGCCCCGATACTGATACTAGTATCGGTGCTTCCCTAGTCAAGTCAATCTAAATCTGCTGGTCCATGTAACACCAGCCTCCACCCAGGGTGATAATGTGCTGTCCAGGGGTGGCTCAATTGCTCTTCCATAGAGTGGAGCCACCTTAACATAGGAGGTGTCTTACTGGCCAGATAACCAGGTGATAGTAAAGGGGGGGAAAAGCCTAAAAAAGAAAACGAATGCAGCCACCACATTAAAAGATTGATAAACTGCAATATACAGTATTTTGATTTTGTTTTTGGGTTTAGATATGTTTTAAAATTCAGAGTTCGCAATCCCCACTGAAGTCTATCTTGTTATTTAATTCTGCCTGTTTGTAAGACTAATAAGTAAGCTATTTTAAACCAAAGGGCATGGGAAGCCAGGGACCGCCATGGTAAGCCAGGCACCGCCATGGGAAACGTACCAATACCAACATAAAGAAAAAGTACATGAGGGAGACGAGCTTTTCATGCAGCTCCAAGGGTGACATTGAAAATACACAAATCCTTTAAATGATATGCTCAGGAAATGCCTTACGGCTGTACGTGGTTTTACAGAACAGGTTGCAGTTGGTGAGGGTGCTCTCCGCACACCTTTCAGCAGTCCCGGCCAATAAACAAAAATGGTGCTTGTAGTAACTGACACGGATGGCACCGTGCAAAACACAAAGTTGAAGAAATAGGTCACCAGCACTCCAAAAAGTTAAAATGAATAAGTCCTTTTTATTGGACAATTGTGTCACGACAATCAAAAAGGCTCTTTTTGATTGTCGTGACACAATTGTCCAATAAAAAGGACTTATTCATTTTAACTTTTTGGAGTGCTGGTGACCTATTTCTTCAACTTTGTGTTACAGAACAGCACACAAATCCCAGACAGCCTCGGCGTCAGCATATTCTGGCAGCGCACATTTGTCGATGGAATTGATTTATATTTCTTGTATTCAGTGAGCTTGGCTTACATACAGCAGCATCCTGATAGGATTCATATGAAGGTACCAAAAATGGTTCTTTTCCTGGTGGTTTTAGCAGTGACGCTTTTTCATCCGGCGGTACTAAGTCTGCTTTGACCAGTGAAAGCGACAGCTGCAACAGATCCAAAAGCCATACTAGGATGGTGTGTTTTTGAAAAAAGACAATTGAGCCGATATAACATGGTAAAAAAGTGTCACAATAGTTGGATGGCATAGCTTGTGTGCCGCTTTTTATTAGACTGGGCTTGCAGTGAACCCAGTTGGCCTGAGTTCGCCCGAGCACGCTCGTAACTCTGACCACCACCCCTTCCTCCCGACCCAATCAGTTGCGGGGAGGTGCATTCCCCACCATGCAGTTATATGCCACCAGGTGCATCCCGAGGCAGGGTGTCACCCAGAGCGGGTACCGAGTAACACCCCGCCGTGATGTCATCACGCATGCACCTGCATGCGCAGCCATCTTGATGATACCTGCCACCGGCCATCTTGGTGATGGACGCCGGCAAAGAGAGGAGGGGACGTTCACCTGGAGGAATAAGGTATGCCGCCGGGTCCCCTCCTCTCTCCTGCAACCATGACCGAGTGCCTGACTTTTCAGAGGGGGTGACATTTTGGTGTTACCCATCCGATGGTGTCACCCTAGTTACGCCACTGTATGCCACAAAGGGGTGGGGAATGCCCCTGCCGCAACTTCCGTCACTGATTGGGTCAGGCAGTTGCGGCAGGGGGT